TAAGCCAACATAAGGAATAAAATCAATCAGTATGAAATTTTAGAATAATATTACGAGAACTTTTTGACTACCCTATGTAAATATTAGAAAAATGCGATACAATCATGTTGTTGTTTTTTTTTTTTTTTATTGACTTATTTTTATTTTATGCTTATTGATAAATCGATTGAAATGAAAATCTAACATATGCCCAAAAATAAAAATGAATCTTTTTGTTTTGATTGTAATTATTCTCGAATGTTGGTTTTTTTAATATTTTAATTTGATATTATTAATCAAATTGAAAATGATGTTAAACATAGTTATTTTAGTTGGCCTTTGCTTTTATAATTTTAGGAGACTTTTAAAAATATTATTGATTTTATTATAAAAATGAAAAATTTTAATTAAGTCACTTAGATTTTATGATAGATATAAACATTTAGTTTTTCAACTTCAGTTTATTGTTAATTTTTAAGATCATGGCAAGAAAATGTTTTTTTTTTCAGATTTTGTGATACAAACTCAACTATAAAGAAACAAGTTAAGAAGTAAAATTGTGAAGAGTTGAAAATAGAAACATAATTATGAAATGCTCATTAGCAACATTGATTTATTCTTGTCATGCTGACGAGAACTACTAATATAAAAATTCCCAAGAGCGACAAAAATAAAAATGTTTACATAAAGTTGTCTCATTCTAATTTAGAAAACTAAAGCTAAATCTGCTAATAAAATGTATGTCATCTAAGTCTAGTACGTATTATCGTGTACTGTAGATCCTAACATTTTCAAGCTTCGGAAATCACATAAATATCCTCAATGTGTTTTTTGAAAATAAGAATTTAATCATAATTCTTTCTTTTTTTAACCTAAAGAAAATAGCGCAATCCTTATGAGATTAATATGTGAAACACGATGTCGTTGCTGTTACTAATCATAGGAAGATTATTTTATTCTATTTATTTTAAGACATATTTCTTTACCATAATTTTGCATAATCCTCCAAAAATGGAATAAGAAAGTCGATCATATATTATAGCGAAATGCTATTGATATAAAATCTGTAATTGTATATTAACAACAGAGAATCCGACGGATTCTAACTTGAATATTTCTGTTAAATTATATTTTATTTTATCTTTTTTTCTATATAAAGTTGTTGATTTTTTTAATCGAATCAATCTTGTTTATGGCATTATCAGTGAATATTGTACTCGAGAAAGTTGTCCAACTATGTCTGGTGGTCCTCGTTATGAATATAGGTATTAATGAAAATAGATTATTATTTGTTTTTTAGTTTTTTTTGTTATATTAAATTATTTATTCATATCTATTAAGATGGTGTGATGGTATTAAGTATAAAAAACCAACATCATTAAGTGCTCCTGATTATATAGCTTTACTTATGGAATGGGTTGAAACAATAATAAATGATGAATCAATATTTCCGATACAAGTTGGTACACCATTTCCAAAAAATTTTCGTTCAACATGTAAAAAATTACTTTCACGTTTATATCGAGTTTTTGTTCATGTTTATGTACATCATTTTGATCGTGTAATTGATTTACAAGCGGTAATAAACTTTAATAATTATTGTTGAATATATATATATATATTTTTTTTTTTCTTCTTTTTTGTTTTTTTTATAAAGGAACCACATGTTAATATGTGTTATAAACATTTTTGTTATTTTTGTCATGAATTTGATTTATTAAAAAAAGAAGAAATTGCTCCATTGGTAAATTAATCTTATTTGATTGTTTTATTTCTTTTTTTGTTTTTCTTTTTTTTTTAGTATGAAATGACTAATCGATTATGTCCAGAAGTACTTGGTGTTGTTAGACCAAATTAATAAATATATAGTTATGGTTATATTTAAAGATTTTTATTTTCAATTGGAACATTACAAGAATTATAACATCGCAAATAATTGTTTTGAAGTCACTTGTAAATTTTTAGACATACTAAAAAAATCAATCATTGTATAACATAATTCCTCATTTTCCCTATTATTGATAAATTAAATAAATATCAGTCAGTCAAGTAAAACAGATCTTCATAAATATGTCATTTTTTGTTGTGTACTCAAAAAGTGAGTACACTCTAGAATCGGTCAGTATGTCCGTTCGGCCGTCCGGCCGTTTACACGATAACTTTCGAAAGGAGAGTCAGATCATGATGAAATTTTCTACACAGTTCAGTCTTAACAATGTCTCGGTCGAGTTCGAAGAT